GTTGTCTGTGCGGTTTGTCCTTCAGCTGTTCTCGAGATAAAATATCAACAGGAAAGTATTGTTTACCTGACTTTTTAGAGAGCTGGTAGGTATATGGTTCTGTTCACCACCAAGGTAAAGTTAGTTTTATGTTGGATTTCATTTTTTATCTCGTCAATAGCTATTGAATCAAGCATGCAATGACAATGAAAATGGTATATTCTGAATCAGGGGGAAATGAGGAACAACTGACATATTTATAGTGTGTGACTTGTTTTCTTCTTCTCTGGATTTCCTTTTATATCCAAAGTAAAATAAGCATAGCTGTGGATTGTTCTCCATCCTGCCCTGATTCGGAATATACCATTTTAATTGTCATCCTTGGTTCAATAGCTATTGAGAGAAAACCAAATATATCCAATATAAAACTAACTTTACCTTGGTGCCGAACAGAACCATATACAGTGGGGAGAACACGTTTTTGATACACTTACAAAGCATGTAGAGGTCTGTAATTTTTATCATAGGTACACTTCAACTGTGAGAGACGGAATCTAAAACAAAAATCCAGAAAATCACATTGTATGATTTTTAAGTAATTAATTTGCATTTTATTGCATGACATAAGTATTTGATCACCTACCAACCAGTAAGAATTCCGGCTCTCACAGACCTGTTAGTTCAAATTCTTATTTACAATGACGGCCTACCCCGGCCAAACCCAGGGCTAATGAGCTCTGCCCCGAAACAAAGCCAATAATAATACCCAGTGAGCAATTTACCTTTTTCGTATTCTAAATCTTTAATTATTTCTTATTGTTGTTGCATTGTCGAGAATGAACCTGCAAGTACGCATTTCATTGGACAGTGTATTTAGAATCCTGTATGTATGACAAATAAACTTGAAACAGGGTGATTTGCTGTTCATCTTGGTATGTTAATTTTCCCATACATTTTTATTTCTTTTTTTGCAGACACCATTATCCAGTGACTTGCTCAACTAAGGTAGATAAACAACAACATATCAGTCATATCAAGTAAAACCTTTCTGTAAACTTTACTAAGAATGTTGTTGCTGTTAGGCCCGGCTACTTGCAAATGTATATTAAAATACAAAATACATGTATTTTAATTAAATACATTACAAAATAAAAGTATTTTGTTGTTTATTTTGATACACTGATCTTTATGGTATTTTGTCATTTTTGCCTATCCCTGATTACAGCCCGACTAATCAGACTAGGATGGATGCAGAAGACCCCTCCTGCTCCCTCCATCGATTGATCTCTTCTAATATTTCACCTCATCATTCCATCATAAACAGATAGGCCTAACAGATTAATGTATCTGATGAAAAAAATTGCATATTATTTAAAGAAGCCAAAAAATATAGAAAAAAATAAGATTCTGCTAACAGATGGTAGCAGGTGGGAAATTAACTTTTTGATGCCGTAATTTTACCAGCCACTCAAATGTTTGAAATATAATTAGAATTAACATAAATCACAGAAAACACGGTACACCCCACCCCGCTTTCACCACTGTAGCCTTGAGATTCTCTCTTCCAGAGCTGACATACACATATTTTTAATTTACATGTCGGCTTTGGATAAAATAAACTGCTCACAAAACGCGATGTGGCTGGTAAGAATAGACATTCTACCAGACAATGGCAAAATGTACCAGCATTTGACTGGTGGCTGGTGTTAACTTCCCACCCTGGGTGGTGGATGGGTTGTTTTGGTAATAGCTGGAATGACTCTTGGTCTGGTCTTCAGAACCCATCGTTAATAAGCATCATTAAAATGATATAATTCTAGATGCCATTATGTCAGATGCAAATTGAACCAAAGTGGATTTGAGGGCTGGGGCCTCAGACAGTTGGGACCCTGAAGCCTGAGACAGCTGACAAATTGATTCCTATTAGCGAACTACTGCAACTGACTGACAGATTTGAATTAGACAGGGTTTTCATCTCCCTACACATACATACGCACACCAATTTGACTGACAAACATTGACTGATCGAGGCACAATTTATGGTGGATGAGCAGTTATGTACCTGGGTTCAGCCAGTATGATTTTCTTGCTCGCCCGGGCCGCTGGAGTAGATTTGCTCTTCTCCATCGCCATCAAATAGCTGACATCGGCGAGAACTGCTTCGAGGTCCGCCATCTTCAACCCTGGGTCGATACAACACCTGCCGTGGGAACGTTTTTTAGGAAAGACAAAGCGAATGTCCACTGAATCTAGCTAGATCCAACCAGGGCGACCAAGACAGCTATGCGGATGACAGGGGCGACCATCGAATGGAGCGTGCCGTTTTCTTCCTCTAGGTTTGGCACACACGGTCTCTCAAAACAACCATTGTGACAGAAAAAAATGTAAATCGGAGAGGAGATTGATAGCTCACTAGATGCCTAGTTTATTGATAGCTCACTCATCTGGGTATTTTTTTATTCTTCCATCAATAAGGTTCCGTGATGTGCAAATGTTTGGTGGTTTCATGGACTCCGAATATAAGCAGTTAGAAATAATGGCATTTATGGCCAGACAAGATTGATTCGATATTTTCGTTCCTGTCCCCCCCCCCACCCCCACCCCCATAAGCACTTCACTTATTTAGATGGACCACCTGCTAGATTTGGCTAACTAGTAAGCCAGCTAGTTAGCTAATAACTGTCAAACCCCACTGATCCTGGATGATTTGTTTCATCTTCTTGTCAAGCTAAAAAATGTAAATATTGCGGTACGTCTGACTCCACCAAGACCTATGTTTCAAGCTTCCTAACTGCGTCTTGTCGCCTATGCTTTAAAATAAAACAACTTTATGCGTCAACAAAGATGGGTTGCATCAAATCTATCGAAATGGCATCCGATGAAGACATCCTGTAAAAACGATGACAAGGGTAGAAAGCTAAAATAACAAGTGCCTGTATCCCAAAAAATTGGACCACGAATGAATAGTCCAGATACCGAATAAGGTAGGTTCACACGTATTCACCAAAATGAAGAATCAAAACAATTGTCTCGCATTGTCAGCGTTGCTTTTATATCGTCAGTTGTTGGCTTCCTGTCTGGCTACAATTTTTTAGGACATCAATCGTAGAACGTCGCCACATAGATGCAGGTTGCTGGCTGAATATCCAGGCCAGCATGCAAAAAACAATGCTGTAACAATTAGCTAGATATCCGACGAAAATCAATCTAGCTAACAAGAAAACAACAATATGTTATTGGCACTACAGTAACGTTAACTAGACGCAATATTTAAACATAAATTAAGCCACGACATCAGCCAGCTAGATTCTCCATTTGACTAGGGAGAATTGTTAGCTACGACCAACTGCTGTGCAAAACATTGCTACTTGGTAGCGAGTTAGTTACAGTAGCTTGCAAGTAGCTAAACCAGTAGCCAGTTGAATTTCAACTAACTAGCTAACGTTAGCTAATCTACTTAGCTAGCTAGCGCTAGCTAACAACCGCTTTATCGCACTGACACGAAACCCACTCCACCAGTTTAGCTATCTCAGCTAACGAATCTTGATCTTCAGGCAAATCCACGTCATTTCAAAAGAGACCGACGAAACCGCACAGAATTAGCCATAATAATTCACCCCAGTGTTGTGGACTCTGGCATGGATACACCAGTGGCTAGTTAACTGTTATGATGGGGGAGGGGGCGTTGGAAGGAGGAAATTGGCTAGCTAACGTTAGCTTGATAAACGTCCACGGTCTCTCACGACTGTCTTCAACTGGAAGTTGAGTGTTTTCTGGGCGACCAACAACTTGCTAGCTAGCCAACCAACCAACATACAATGGAAGCTAAACTAACAACCTAAGTGCATATAATTTCGTCTTCTAATATCAGCTGCCTGTCAGTGTCTTCCTCGGTAAAGTGTTGTGACCATACGTTTCTTTTCCTCCTTGTTGCGCGCTCCTCAAGACACTTTGCTCTTGCTACAGTAGCCCGAAGGAATCCGCACGAGCCGCTGAGACCTGTGCATTCGACAGAATCTGACGACGCGGAAGAATGTTTGATATCCTGTTTGTTTACGTTCCTCAAAGAGGCACAGATTTCTTCTTGTTATCCCTTTTGAGTCCGAGTAGGGACAGTATACTTTACTCCATTTCGTTGGCTGAGTCTCCTGTGTGCAGCTGTGTAGTGGGTTTGTGTCCCCCAGTGGATTGCGTATTCTCAGAAACAAGCTAGCTTCTGTGAAAGCCCCACTTCCTCACACTGCGACTGAGAAGCCTGGAAAACATGTAATGGAACCAGACCACTCATGGACGCGGAACTACATTATTATAAATGCCCTATTGATTTTAATAAAATAAAAACCATTATATAAAATGAGCACTATTCTGTTTAACAAAAAAATTATATTTGTAACACTGTTCAAATGAGGGCGGTAGGCAATATTCCTAATATTCAGTATGCATATGAATTGACCAGTAGGCCTTCAATTATGTGACACACTATCAATACAATAATAATTGCTGACGAATTTTGTTGGGCTTTACAACCTATACAACGGTGATTTATTTTTGGAGAAGCATTTTACAAATGGGAAGCAAATACATTTGATGATAGCGCTGCAAAATTCGCCTCCAATGACCATCCCAAATGGTCAGCCGAGCTTCCACCGCTCACCTGACTCTTATCATAGCCTGTCGCCCGAAGGCCACTTTGTCTCATAATATCATCAGTATGAGGTGTGTGATTCTACCTCGCAATGTACGTCATCACACCATTATATTTGATTTAACTAAGCAATATTTTATTATTATATTTTGTCAATAGATTGATCTTCCTTTTTTTGTTGTTGTGATTACTGGCATGGAGACGTAGCGCCACCTTCCGGCCAGTGAATGTAATGTTTTCAGAAGCGCTCCAGTCTAAAATGTCTCAATAGACCTGCGTTTGTTTATTTGTTTGTCTTTAGCTATGTTTCTAGTAGTACAATTTCACCTACAGTTAAGATACATTCAGAGAGGCACAAGCATGGACGGGAGGTCAGTGAGGTTTTAGAAATACAGTTTATTCAGCATTGGGTAGCAGTGGGGGTAAGCTTGGGATAACGGGTGCAAGGTTACTGCTGAATGCGGCGGATGGACTGGATCTGAGGGGTCTGGGAGTGGGAGCCGAACTCCTTGAAGTGCTTGTACTCGCCCATGTGACGGTCACACTCCATGATGTACTGGTAGCCACGGTATCCGGGGTACTGGTAGCACACAAAACTGTTAGGTAGAGAGACAGAGAGAGATTTCAGAGTCAGTTGGCGGTAATGGCTACTATGAGGCTAAGGGAGTGGTAAAACATTAGATTGGAGAGAGGATGAAAGAGAGAGCGAGGCAGATTGGAGTGAGAGCTCAAGGAGTGAGTGAAGTAGAGGGAGGGAGAGAGAGAGGTCGGTTGACTGTGGTAAGGGCTGGCTACTCACGCTCCGGACTGGATCTTGAGGGAGCCGACCTCGTTGTTGCACCAGCCCATGGCCTGGAGGGAGGGGTAGTCGTCGCTCAGCTCGCCCTTACGACCCAGGAAGTTCTCGCGCTCATAAATGGTCATTCGGCACTCCCTGTGGTTCTGGAGGGGAGAAGACGGGGGGAGAGGATGTCAGTTAGTCAGTCAAGAGGAAGAGTGTGGAATAGATAGTGGTAGAGACAGATAGGAATAGATAGAAAGAGGAAGAGAGTGGTAGCTTGGTTACTCACAGCGCAGGCAATGGGCCTGAAGGAGGTCATCCTCTCAATGTGATAGGCGTTGCTACCTCCGAAGGCGTCGCACTGGGGGTACTCTCCTCTCTCCAGCACAAACTGCTGGCCCTGGTAGGAAGCATGCTCATAGCCAACCCAACTATAGGAGCGAGAGGGAGAAAGGGAAGAAGTAAGAGATCGCCCTTTTCCCTTAGCTTCTCTGAGCAATAGTTCTAAAGTCTGAAACCATAGAGTGCAAGGTCTGTGTGAGCGTTTCTGCAGGTGTGGATTTTAAGTGGGGATTTGTGTGTAAGTACTCACGCTCCACTTTCCACCCTGAGGGAGCGCACAGTCTCGAAACCGAACTCCATCACATTGCAGCACTCTGAGGTAAACTCATGGCGACGGCCCTGGAAGCACTCCTCGTCGAAGACAATGATCTGAGAGGGACACAGAGAGAGAGAGAGAGACACACATGAGTTACATACTGTATCTATCTATTTACCTGGACAGGTTAAAGCTGAGGTTTGTGTGCAGCACTGGAGGCTGCTGAGGGGAGGAGGGTTCATAATAACGTCTGGAATGGAATAAATGTCATGTGTTTGATGTGTTCGATACGTTCCATCAACTCCGTTTCAGACATTACTATGAGCCCGTCCTCTCCAATTAAAGGTGCCACCACCCCCTGTAGTGTGCAGTCAGAAGTGTCTCTACAACTCCCTCTTTAGAGCTAATATGGTCTGTGATTTGTCTAAATTTGTGCAGGGTGTAATCTGTTCAGCTGGAACAGAAAGAGTGTGTCTAGACCCAACCCTGCTGTTGACAGAACAGGCTCCTGTGATAAACGGTGTGTCCTGAGCTCAGGTTGTCACATTGATCCTAGAGGCCTGTTTCTCACACAACTCTCTGGTTAAAGAGTTTTCCTGGACCCACAGACTAAGCTCAAATACTTAACAAATTCATCCTTCCTTCCCCTCTTGCTTCCTTGAGGTAATCACTGATCTGCCATGGTTGGATAGGTGGAAGTAAGAATTTCACTACATTGCTTTTAGATCATGGACACATTAATTTTTTAAGTATTGAAACAGGTCCACAGCAGTCCTTTATATGATGCATGGAGCTGTGCTGTCATCCGCACACTCAGTAAGCCAGTCTTTTTTATTTATGTAATTTTTTTAGCGGGTAGATCAGCTTAATATTGCAGATAGATTGTAACTTCCATCAATGTAATTGTCTGCATCACTTCCAATCCCCCATGTTTATATATATATATATATATATATATATATATATATATATATATATATATATATATATATACATATATACATACACACAGTAAGCCAGTCTTACATACCTTCCAGTGGCCAGAGAACTTGGTGCAATGATGAGTCATCTTATTGTCTGGAATGAGAGAGCACAGATAGCAGGACTGTTATAAACAATACTACTTTTACAAAGAGTAGAATGTTACATTTGGGCAATGTGCAACTCGTGATGCTAGTTTGCTGAAAGTGTCTTTTCCACACATTCATACTCACACAGACACACACTGACCATACACACACACACTCTTTCTTCTCATATAAGCACACACACTGCCCCAGACATGTAACAAAGTTCGGCAACAAAGTTTGCCCACATCAAAAATACTGAGCATCAAACAAATATACATGTAAATAAAAATTTTAAAAATACATATATAAAACAGAGGTATGCAAAGTAGCTGGTGGAGGGAGAAAATGGAGCAGCATTGTGCTTCAAACCCCAGAATAGATTCCAGTGGCAGGTTGGTATAGCAGGACTCCCTCCCTGTGTAATAAACTATCCATATTGTACCACCGCAGCATTGCTATTCTACGCTACATGGCATGCTTTTATGTACTGAAAAGGCCTGTACAGCTCGAATGCTCCAGAATGTGAAAAGGCTGGTTTAGCTCTGTATGCAGGGCTAAAAGTATTGGTTTAGCTATGTGTTGTTCAGGGCTGAAACGCCTGTGAGGATAGTATCCCAGCGAGGCTAAAATCATGCGCTTATGAGCAACTGGCCTGAATAGCAGGATTGAAAGCATCAGCAGCTATTTACAGATCCGGTACTGGAATGAGGAAAGTCCAACAGGCCAGGGGCCACATCTAGGATATTCGTCTTTATGACTCCTTTTCCCTATTTTTTTCTGTCCCCTTCTCTCTGTTATCCCCTTTTTTTCTTCCTCTTTTTCCTCCTCTCTCAATTTCCTTTTCTTTCTCCATCCCTTGTCGGCCCCTGGTCCCTGTTCCTGTGGCCCAGAGTTATGCCCCTGGGCCTGCCTGGCTGCCGTGTGAAGTGGTGGGGGGCAGACCCGAGTCAGTATGGGGCCTGCTATCCTACACTAGGTACTCTGCCCTGCTCTGTCTGCCTGCCTGCCTGGCTGGCTGGGTGGATGATCAGGCTGGTGCTATGGTTCTCTGGGTGGGACAGAGAGACTCACCTTGCTTTGATGCCCTTGGCTGTCCTGGAATGAGAGTGAGAGGACTCACGCGCCCCCACCCTTTTAAAGCCTCCCCTGGCAAAGGGCCACGCTGAAAGCCCCAGCTCAGCAGCGGGGAGGGGCCTCTCTTTGTCCCATTGACAAAAGCAGGGTTAATCTATAGAGGGACAGAAGTGCAGACACCACACTATCACCCAGTGCAGGGACCAGGGATAGGGAGAAGAGGAGGAGAGAAGAGACAAGTTCAGGGCACTTAGAGAGAATGTCAAGGGGCGACGAGAGGAGGAAGGGGATGCCCTCAAAAAGCCACGTACATTAGCCTACACTGTTGATTTCTCTCTCTCTCTCGCTCTCTCTCTACCTCTTCCTCACTATCTCTCCCTTTCACTTCTTTGTTATTTCTATCGTTCACAATCACATCTCATGTTTTCTTATGGGTATGTAAATTAACGAGCTATATCCCAAAAGGCTAATGGATGACCCTCTCCTCTCTGTTGACAAGTATGTCATGTCCTTTACTCACCTGTAGGGGGAGACCTGTCTGTCTCCCTGTCTGCTCACCTGTCTGTCTCCCTGTCTGCTCACCTGTCTGTCTCCCTGTCTGTCACACCCTGGTTCACCTCACCTCATCTGCTCTGCTACAATCACTGTCCCCTATTTCCCCTAAAGGATTGATAAAGTATTGTATCTATCTGTCTGTCTGACGTAAAAGTTAAACTTGTGCATGGAAGACTTTTAGATTGTTGATGACTAAATTGTTGTTATTCTGTTAGTCCCACAATGTGACACAGCCTGTGGTGTGTATCTTATTTATTCATATCATTATTCATAGTTCATCTGCAGTATGATCAGGCATGCTCCCATGTTTCATAACACGCAAACAGAGAGAGAGAGAGAGAGTAGAGAGAGTAAGAGAGAAGAGAAGAGAGAGATCGTAGCGAGAGCGATAGTAGGGCATAGCAGATAGATAGCATATATCGAGATGAGGAGCGTTCCCTCTTCTCTCTTTTTGTTTGACCCTTGCTCGCGCTCTCTGCGCTTGCTCTCGCTCTCTCTCTCGCTCTCTCGGCCTCTCGCTCTCTCTCTCTCGCTCTTCTCGCTCTCTCTCGCTCTGCGCTCTCTCTCTCTCCTCTCGCTCTCTCGGGTTCTCATCTCTTCTCTCGCTCTCTCTGGCTCGTGCTCCTCTCTCTCTCCTCTCTCTCTCTCTCTCTCTCTCAGTCCCCCAGCAAATTTGACAGACTGAGATGGAGGAGTGTCAGCAGTAGACAAGCTTTAACATGAAACACTCAGACGGGTTACACTTCAACAGTGGAACGAACTGCTTATAAAAAAAACAGGTGGTTATGAACTATTATAGTTGGTTAACTATTAGGCTAACCAAATGGCTATGTAATTTCTACTTAAACTGTGTGTCCTTTTTCAAAGGGAATATTCTTGTATTTATTAACTTTCCTAAATATATTTATCAAAAACGTTAACCTACACAACTGAATCATGAAAAGTATAAATCATACCTTTTACATATATTACCAGTCAACAGTCAAAAGTTTGGACACACCTACTCATTCAAGGGTTTTTCTTTATTTTTACTATTTTCTACATTGTTGAATAATAGTGAAGACATCAAAACTATGAAATAACACATATGGTATCATGTAGTAACCAAAAAAGTGTTAAACAAATCAAAATATATTTTATATTTTAGATTCTTCAAAGTAGCCACCCTTTCCCTTGATGACAGCTTTGCACACTCTTAGCATTCTCTCAACCAGCTTTACCTGGAATGTTTTTCCAACAGTCTTGAAGGAGTTCCCACATGTGCTGAGCACTTGTTGGCTGCTTTTCCTTCACTCTGCGGTCCGACTCATCCCAAACCATCTCAATTGGGTTGAGGTCGGGTGATTGTGGAGGCCAGGTCATCTGATGCAGCACTCCATCACTCTCCTTCTTGGTAAAATAGCCCTTACACAGCCTGGAGGTGTGTTGGGTCATTGTCCTGTTGAAAAACAAGTGATAGTCCCACTAAGCGCAAACCAGATGGGATGGCATATCACTGCAGAATGATGTGGTAGCCATTCTGGTTAAGTGTGCCTTGAATTCTAAATAAATCACCAACAGTGTCACCAGCAAAGCACCCCCATACCATCACACCTCCTCCAACATGCTTCATGGTGGGACCCATACATGCAGAGATAATCCGTTCACCTGCTCTGCGTCTCACAAAGACACAAAGGTTGGAACCAATAATCTCAAATTTGGACTCATCAGACCAAAAAAGGACAGATTTCCACCGGTCTAATGTCTCTTCTTCTTATTGGTGTCCTTTAGTAGTGGTTTCTTTGCAGAAATTCAAACCATAAAGACCTGATTCATGCAGTCTCCTCTGAACAGTTGATGTTGAGATTTTTCTGTTACTTGAACTCTGTGAAGCATTTATTTGGGCTGCAATCTGAGGCTGGAAACTCTAATTAACTTATCCTCTGCAGCAGAGGTAACTCTGGATCTTCCTTTCCTGTGGCGGTCCTCATGAGAGCCAGTTTCATCATAGCACTTGATAGTTTTTGCGACTGCACTTGAAGAAACTTTAAAAGTTCTTGAAATTTCCGGATTGACTGACCGTCATGTCTTAAAGCAATGATGGACTGTCGTTTCTCTTTGCTTATTTTAGCGGTTCTTGCCATAATATGGCTATCTTCTATATACCACCCCTACCTTATCACAACACAACTGATTGGCTCAAACACATTAATTCCACATATTAACTTTTAACAAGGCACACCTGTTAATTGAAATGCATTCCAGGTGACTACCTCATGAAGCTTTGAGAGAATGCAAAGAGTGTGCAAAGCTGTCATCAAGGCAAAGGGTGGCTACTTTGAAGAATCTCAAATTTAAAATATATTTTGATTTGTTTAACACTTTTTTGGTTACTACATGATTCCATATGTGTTATTTCATAGTTTTGATGTCTTCACTATTATTCTACAATGTAGAAAATAGTAAAAATTAAGAAAAACCCTTGAATGAGTAGGTGTGTCCAAACTTTTGACTGGTACTGTATGTATTTATTTAATTAGATGTTTAACAAACTGTGATATAGTGTTGTAGGTCAGTACAAACAAAAAGAAAAGAAGAAAACAATTACTCAAAAAAACTTCACAGCACTAAAAGAAGGTTGCTTACAATAATTTATTGTTGTTTTGTTTTGACATGTTTTGACAAACTATGTTATAATGTGTAAGCTGTTTATAAAGCATTAGCCATAGCTGTAGTATTGGCCATAGCTTTAGCATAGCTATGGTTTTGGTGTTAGCCAGATAGCTGTAGCATTAGCTCACACCACTGTGTGTTGAGCGAGCACAGCGCTGCGCTGGCTGTTGTAACAGTAGAGTGTCTGTGTGTGTTAACAGTAGAGTGACTGTGTGTGTTAACAGTAGAGTGACTGTTTATGTTAACAGTAGAGTGACTGTGTGTGTTAACAGTAGAGTGACTTCCCAGTCAACCATTAGTCAACAGAGAAAGGAGCAGAGACTGGACTGTCACTAGCCTACCTCTCTCTGACTGGAGCCTGTGGAAAGCTGGTATCTATGGCTGTCTTTACAGCCAGACCAATTCAAAAAATGTTGTTCTCTAATTGGTCATTTGACCAATCAGATCAATTGGGAAAAAGATCAGAATTGGACTGCCTTTGTAAACACAGCCTATGTTACCTATTCTACACTGGCCTGCATAGAATGAAGATAACATAACAGAAGAATGACTGAATTATAAATTATATAGATGGATTTCCTAGACATTGATAGGTGACAGGGTTTCCATGTAAAATTGGTCTATGTATTTTTGCAATTTATCTGTTGAGATCATCTGCCATTATTTTATACACTTTTTTGTACCCTTACTCAACCTACCTTGACTCAACCAGCTAGTTTTGGACTCTGTATCTCAGGGGGACAATTGTCCCTGACTGCACAACTCTGGAAGGCTGGCTGTAGAGAGGGAGACCAGGATTTACTAACCTCATCGTAGACTACTAACATCTGAAATCAATCTATTTGTATCTATCTATCTATCTATCTATCTATCTATCTATCTATCTATCTATCTATCTATCTATCTATCTATCTATCTATCTATCTATCTATCTATCTATCTATCTATCTATCTATCTATCTATCTATCTATCTATCTATCTATCTATCTATCTATCTATCAATCTGAATCAATCAATCAATCAAATGAACAATCAATCAAGGATCATGATGCACACATCAATATTTAAAAGTCATCTAGCAACATGACTACATGATCATTGATCCTGACCTACAGTATACAGTGGAGAGACCTGTACTTGATTGGACAATGGATGGAGAAAATGAACACTTGTCATAAAGACCTGTGGTGAGAGAGGGTAGAGAGGGGGGTTGAGAGAGAAGGGGAGATGGGGGGTAGGGAGAGATGGAAGGAGAGTAGAGAGAGACAAAAGGATAAAGGATGACATTCTCCTACAGGATATTTATACTCTATTATTCTGCCTCTTCCCTTTCGTCATGACCCTCCTTTACCACACTTTTATGTGCTTTATAATGCTGTGATACTGTCTGTATATTAGCATTATATCTATGTAAAACAAGTGTGCATGTGTGTGGGAGACAAAAAGACAGAGTCTGTGTGAGATATTATCACCTAGTTACACGTCCTTTTCATCTTCTTTGATAATAATAATACATTAGGATCATTATCATTTGAAAAAGATGAATAGGGATCATAACTTGTTTTATTGATTGCACTCAACTAACCAGAAGAAGAAGAAGAAGAAGAAGAAGAAGAAGAAGAAGAAGAAGAAGAAGAAGAAGAAGAAGAAGAAGAAGAAGAAGAAGATCACAAAAAAATCAGTCCTGGCAAAATCAGTCCTGACTAATCGTACTTGAATGGAAATCCCACCTTTTGTTAATCAACTTTTAAAATGTTATGTCATTTGAAGCATAAGTCTATCTCTTTTCAAAACTAAGCTAAGTGCTGGTACAGTTTTACCTGTTAGAGTTAGAGAAAGATACAGAGAGAGACAGTGTGTGTGTGTGTGTGTGTGTGTGTGTGTGCATGCAAGCACCTGTGTATGTGTTAGAGGATTAACTACTTGCGCCCTCCAGGTCTATGCATTCCTGTGCCCTATATGCTGCTATAGCTTACAGGCCCAGCGCACTAACAGAGGGGGAAAGTGCCATTGTCAGGGCTTTCCATTGACAGTAAAGTGCTTACAGGCAGCGCGGGGGGCAGAGGGGGGTTCTGGTTGATGCGATGACCCAGGGCGCTTTGGTCCAGACCAACTCTGATGACGCTGGTGTTTCTATTGTCCACCGAGCCACTGCGTTCGGCCTTTGCCAGGGTATAAAAGCTAGGGCTCTGCGCTGAGGGGGCCAGCACGATCCAGCCTAACCCACACGGCACAGCAAGCTGTACACGCAGGTAAGGACACACCCCACACACACACGCTCTGAAAACAGAAGTCGATCCACAGCAGCAAACAGCACACAGGGGCCCACTCCTCTCAGCCTACCATGCCTGGGTGTGTCACCCCTAGGCGGGGCAGAGCCCCTAACAGAGGCCCAGGCCTCAGGGCCTACATGAGGCACTCAGACCCCAGGCTGGATTGGTACAATGGATGGTTATTTTCTCATTGGAGATTCTAATTCATCCTATGGAAGTGTGTGGCCGCTGTGTCCTGCCTCAGTTAGTTACAAAACTAAACAAAAAATAGTAACACATACACAAACAACACACATTCACTCTGTAGTGGGAACATGGATGCCACACGTTTACCAGACTTGTGTTTTGATCTTTTTTTCTCCCTGTCCCTCTTTCTCTCAATCGATCTCTCTACTTCCCACTCCATTCTCCCTTTCCCTTTCCTCCTCTCGCTCTCTCTTTCCCTTCTTCCTCTCTTTTACTCTCTCTGCCTGCTCTATCTTCTTTCCTCTGACATTCCTCTCCTCTCCCTCTCCTCTCTCATCCCTCCATCCTCTCCTCGTCCCCTCTCTTCCCCCACTTCTCTCTCCCTCTACCCCTTATCCCTCCATCCTTTCCTTCTCCCTCCATCCATCCATCCCTCCCTCCCCCCCCCTCTCTGTCAGAATTCTCCTGATCCCTCACCATGTCTCAGACCGCCAAGTCCGCCTCCAGCCAGGGCACTGATGTCAAGGACAAGGGAGCCCCTGCCCCCGCTGCCACCATCAAGGCCACTAAGACCGGAGAACCCAGCATTGGAAACTTCAGAGTGAGTCAACACACCTCCATTATATATACACACAAACCACTTGGCACAGGAGCTGGATTCAAATTGTAACTGCAGAAAAAAAGAGAATTGTCCACCCATTGTGTGGGAGCAGCAAACAGTCTAAAGTTAGCCATTTGCCTTTAACTTTTATCTGAGCAGGGTTAATTGACTATGGATAGAACATTATACAGGAAGTTTGTTGTGATTGGTAAATGTTGCAACTAAGTCAGTGGGTCTTAAGATGACCCCAGAGATCTTACAGCCTTCACAGCAGTACATGTGGCTTTGGGTTTAGTGGAAGGAAGCTTCTGTACAGGTAGTCAGAGCCATGAAGAACTTCAGAGCTTTCTAACTGATTGATGAATTGACTGTAGTTACCAGACACAAACGGTAAAGGGCTCTGAGACCTAGTTCCATACCTTCAGTAGTAAAAGGCACCAAATTCATTCTAATTCTATGGTAAAAGGGTCAACATAGAATATAATATTTGTGGAAGAAGGACAGTATCTCACCCTTGACCTCTTCCATTGATAATGTCATCTAACCTCTGACCACTGCCCCCTGTAGATCATGCTGTTCGACCAGGAGAACTTCCAGGGCAGAATGATGGAGATCCAGAACGAGTGCATGAACGTGTGTGAACGCGGCATGGACAGAGTGCGCAGTATCATCGTCGAGTGCGGCCCGTAAGTGGACATACACACCTGCACCTACAGGGCAAGATTACACACAAAGCAATCAACTCTCCATTCTAGTCCAAAACACAGGAAGACAAACTCAGACTGAGTCCAAACATTTGAGCCCAAACACTGATGCTGTAATTTTTCACAACTCTTCACGTTCATTTCATTTTTACCCGTCTTCTAATCCCCCCCCCCCTGTGTCTCCCCCTGTGTCCCCCCTGTGTCTCCCCCTGTGTCCCCCCTGTGTCTCCCCCTGTGTCCCCCCTGTGTCTCCCCCTGTCCCCCCCCTGTGTCCCCCCTGTCCCTGGCGGCCACCCCTCTCCAGCTTTGTTGCCTATGAGCAGACTAACTTCCGTGGGGAGATGTTCATCCTGGAGAAGGGAGAGTATCCTCGCTGGGACACCTGGAGCAACTCCTACCGTAGTGACTGCCTCATGTCCCTCAGGCCCGTCCGCATGGTGAGGAACACACACATTCCAAAACACACACACACTATCACATTTTCATACATACTCTCTCTCACACACATTCCAAAGATGACAGTGACAAATGAGTTCGCTAAAGCGAAAACATCTGGTGACTAGGGCTAATACAGAAGCTAGTGAAAATACCCTCTAACCTTTACCCTGACACTCTCTCTCCTTCCTTCCCCCCTCTTTCCCTCCCTACCTCCTTCCCTCCACAGGACAGCATGGAGCACAAGATCTGTCTGTTTGAGCTCTCCGACTTCAAGGGCAATAAGATGGAGATCCAGGAGGATGACGTGCCCACCCTGTGGGCGCATGGCTTCACCGACAGAGTGGGCAGCGTGAGGGTGCCCGGCGGAGTGTGAGTACACACACACACACACACGCACACTCCCACACACACTCGTCCTTACGCACAAACACCAAAAATCTATTTTTATGGATCCCAGGACTGAAAAAAAGAACTGAAAAATCATAATCTATATCTAAGATAAAACCCATATCTGTAGAAGCTAGAAATAGAGTAGCAATATATTAGCAGTATAGTGACCTATGTATGGCCCAGAGCCTGAGGCAGAGTTGCAGGTTCCTGCCTAGTGACAACATGAGGCCTTGTGGGAAGTGTCACTGTATAAAGTGAAGTATTCAGGCAGGCACAGGGAGGAGGACTGAGTTGTTTGTGTGTCATAGAATGTCAAGGGTACATTTATAACTGTTGCTCACTTTAAGTGGAAACACAGACCTCCTATATGACTTATGTTGTCTCTAATAACAGCTTAAAAATAACTATCTATCTAAATGTAACAAAAATGACCTTCTCTCTCTCTCCTTTCCTCCTCTCTCCAGGTGGGTGGGTTACCAGTACCCCGGATACAGAGGCTACCAGTACCTATTTGAGTGTGGTGACTATAGACACTACAACGAGTTCTGTGCCTTCCAGCCCCAGATCCAGTCCATGCGTCGCGTCAGGGACATGCAGTTCCACCAGCGCGGTTGCTTCAACCTCACCTCCGCCAGCAAGTGAGCGACCTCTGGTGGATGCACGCTGTAACTGCAGCCAGCCAGCCAGTCCTCCCTCACTCAACCCGCCCATCCGGCGCTTTTTATTTCTCCAACCCTATCCCTCCTATCCTTCCCTTCACCCACCCTCATCCCTCTATCCTAAAGGGATAGAACGACAGCATCGTACCGACCGGAACAACCTAAATGACTTTTTATGATGCCAAATAATAAACGTTTTGAAAAACCTGAATTCCTTTCGGCTGGACTACATTATTCAAAGCCTTGTGTCCGCTGTGACAACATTATTACCACAGCATTTTGTGCTTCACTGTCCTTTTCTCTCTGTGTGATATTCACTGTTTCTTTCTCTCTCTTCCCCATTGTCTGTCTGAATGCATTCTCCCTATTTGTCTTTCTCTCTCGCTGTCTCCCTCCTTCACTCTGTCTTTCTCTCGTCCTTCTGTTCTTCTCTCCTCCATCTGGCCTGTTGGACTGAGAAAGGACCATCTGATTAATCAGGGGTTAAAGGTTGAACACAGCCCCTCTCGCCCACTGACAGACAGCACAGTGGAAATGATTTTACCTAACAATGAGGATGCATGTAGATAAAGCTTGTATAAGGTTATTCAACGGGACCTTGAAAGTGGCTTCATATCTAGAGCTATAAAGTAGATGTTATGGTCACTGAAAGGTAAGGGTTATATAGCTTACTTCAATGATGCTCAGTTTACGACCAAATAAAAAGATGTAGGCCTAGTTAATAAGTAAATCATCATACGAAAATTGGCAAATAACTAAATGAGTTCGATCATTGTAGGCTACATAAGCATTGCTAAACTATCAGACACTAAACACCATACATTACATTATAGTCATTAAGCAGACGCCCTTATCCAGAGCGACTTACAGTTAGCGAGTGCATACACATTTTTTTTTCCGTACTGGTCCCCCGTGGGAATCGAACCCACAACCCTGGCGTTGCAAGCGCCATGCTATACCAACTGAGCTACACGTTGGTTGTTAGCTACATCTGCTGTCTTGCTGGTTCGTTCCATGGTTGCAAAGATTATGGATTATTTTATGATGTCCCACTCAGGCCTTTTACCATTGAAAATTAAATGGTCAGTTCCGGTCTGCTAAACTGGGTTCTCCCATAGGCTAGGTCGAAAAAGTACAGGGTTAAGACAAAGTAATAATAATAAATATAATAATAATATGCCATTTAGCAGACGCTTTTATCCAAAGCGCCTTACAGTCATGCGTGCATACATTTTTGTGTATGGGTGGTCCCGGGGATCGAACCCACTAACTTGGCGTTACAAGCGCCATGCTCTACCAGCTGAGCTACAGAGGACCCATGCATGATTCCATGCGTTCGAAAATAAACAAATTGATGTTTGCAAAGAGTTATGGGATATTAGAATCCCATTGTCTAAACCTTTGTCATCTTCAACCTAGCCCATAGGCACTAATGCATTAGCAGCTGGGTCTGGTCAGGGCCAATGTGGTTTCTGTCTGAAGGTTCCGAGAGCCCACTTTCTCCTCCATAGCCGTTGCTAAGTAATAATTGACGCTTCCGCGTTGTGCTGTTTATTTCTGATAGTTTTCAAAACCTATGAAGATGTACAGTCAGTGAAAGCAGATATGCAATTTGTTGACACCACAACAGTACAGACTTGGATACACATTATCCCGAATGCTAATCAATAAAAACGTCTATTAAATTTGCTGCTGTGTTTTTCTTGTTCACAGCGGGTCATTTCCTAGGGATTTTTCGGAGGCGCTCTGGTATTGTATCACCAAAATGTTATACTTGGCTGAACTCTATATGGCTATGGCTCTGGCTCTGGTCTGCTTAGTTCATTGACTCTATATGAACCAGAAAAAAATAGGGAGTGGGATGTCTCGCTTCCTCTTCCGTCTCTGTATGGTTGCACAAGCAGCAAACTGAGCAGTCAACATGGCAGCACTTTTCAAAGCTAGAAAAGGTCAGTATACAATCAATACACAAACTATTGACGTGCTCTTTTGTCTCTCAATTACAAAGGGTTTTTGTACTTGCTTTGTTGGTGTGTTGATCCTTCGACAATAAAATAGACTTGGGACAGTCGTGCCGGGGTGCTAAGATTTGTAAGCTCAATGTTCTATCTGTCCTAGTAGCTACTTTAGCTCGCTAGCACCAATGCGAAGTAACGACAGCTAGCTGCATATTGAGTGTTTAGTTAGCTTCTAAGCCACCTCTAAAATAAACACAGTTATGCATTGCTAGAATGCTGCCTTTACAGTGGTGGTCAATAATAACTTCCAAGGCAACTTCAATGGGGTTAAGGACTGCAGCCATAACGTAAGCATCATTGACATTGTTTATCATTAACAGAAACCCTGTTTTCACTGGCTGCGTGGGTGGTTATCTATGTAGCTAATACACATATGGGCATTATACCGTAGTAAATGTATTCACATTTATAGCTTTCTGTCTTTACCCCCCCCCCCCCCCCCCCCCCCCAGCCCTTGGCCTGTATGTCAGTGGCTGTAGATCTCTGTCCTCGCTAGCTGAGCTACCAGAGATGCATCAGATGATGAGACAGACCTGTAGAGACTATGCAGACAGAGAGCTGGCTCCTATAGCTGGAAAACTAGACAAGGAACACCTCTTTCCTGCCCAACAGGTACACACACACACACACACACTGGCTTGCTCACACACACACACACACACACACACACACACACACACACACACACACACACACACACACACACACACCACCACCTAATAGGTACACACACACACCACTAAACAGGAGGTACACATATACACACACACACACACACACACCACTAAACAGGAGGTACACATATACACACACACACACACACACACCACTAAACAGGAGGTACACATTAACACACACACACACACACACACCACTAAACAGGAGGTACACATATATACACACACACTCACACCACTAAACAGTAGGTACACATATACACACACACACACCACTAAACAGGAGGTACATATAGACACACACACACTCACACACACACCACTAAACAGGAGGTACACATATACACACACACACACACCACTAAACAGGAGGTACACATAGACACACACACACACTCACACACACACCACTGAACAGGAGGTACACCTATACACACACACACTCACACACACACCCTCCAACGCAATGGTATTCAAACTTTTTCAGCGGGGACCCCATTTATTTCGCCAGAATTTCCGGCGACCCCACCCCAAATCTAATGGCACAACAAATACCCTAAAATTCATTACATTTTCATCTCTCTTATCAAAATGAAAATAAACTAATACATACATTTACTCAATAACATTTTACTTGTCAAAATATATTTCTAAAAAAATGTTTGTATATTGTCCCATACTATAATCTGTACTCATAATTGTTGAATACAACTGCTCTAATGCATCCACCTGTGTATCCGTACAGGTCCGAGAGCTGGGTGCTATGGGGGTGATGGCTGTGGAGGTTCCTGAGGAGCTGGGAGGAGCAGGTATGGACTACCTGGCCTACGCTCTGGCCGTGGAGGAGATCAGTAGGGGCTGCGGCAGCACTGGATGTGTGGTCTCGGTCAACAACGTACGTAAGAGTGTGTGTGTGTGTGTGTGAAAGAGACTGTTTTATATTGCCACTGTATCTTGCACTGATTCTAAAGTTGTGTGTGTGTGTGTGTGTGTGTAGTCTTTGTACATAGGGCCGATATTGAAGTTTGGAACACAGGAGCAGAAGGACCAGTGGATCACTCCTTTCACAACCGGAGAGAAAGTCGGCTGCTTCGCTCTGAGTGAACCAGGTTCACACACATACACACTAACACCTTTGCCCCAGAACCCTCCACTCACTTCTACATTCCAACCTGGGGAAATGGGTGGTTGTTCATTGTTGATGTCACTTCTATCCTCTCCTCTCCTTCTCTCTCTCTCTCTCTTCTCTTCTTTCTCTCTCTTCTCTTCTCTCTCTCTCTCTCTTCTCTTCTCTCTTCTCTCTCTCTGTGTAGGTAATGGTAGTGATGCAGGGGCAGCGTCTACGTTAGCCAGACAGGAGGGAGAGGAGTGGGTACTGAACGGGACTAAAGCCTGGATCACCAACAGCTGGGATGCCTCAGCTACTGTCGTATTCGCTACCACTGACAAGTCACTAAAACACAAGGTTAGATACACCATTGTTGGAGTCAAGCCATAGTTAAACCCCTCTAGTCCTTCTCCCCCCTCTATCTATCTGTCTATCTATCTCTCTCTCAATATTGTATTACTTTATCAATGTAACTCATACATGCAATTCATCTTGTTGCTGCTATTTGTGGTTCCGACAATACAAATCATTCTCCTTTCCCTCCCTCAGTGTAATATTCCCTCCCTCCCTCTGTAGGGTATCAGTGCATTCCTGGTGCCCATGCCTCACCCTGGCCTTTCCCTGGGGAAGAAGGAGGACAAACTGGGCATCAGAGCAACCTCCACGGCCAACCTCATCCTTGAGGACTGTAGGATACCTCTGGGAAACATGCTGGGGCCACGAGGGTCTGGCTTCAAGATAGCCATGGTGGGTTTGTAGGGTGGAGTGGGGTGTTGCTTATGTGTGTGTGTGAGGGGATGGGTGTACGTTTTGTGGTCCATGTCTGTGCGTGTGTGTACTGACCCCCCCCCCCCCCCCTCCCCATCTCTCCCATAGCAAACCCTGGACAGTGGGCGTATAGGGATAGCATCCCAGGCTCTGGGTATTGCTCAGGCTGCTCTAGACTGTGCTGCGGACTACGCTCACAAACGCACCGCCTTCGGAGCTCCCATTGGCAAGCTGCAGGCCGTACAGGTGTGTGTGTGTGTGGAAGTTTGTGTTTTAATGTTAAGGTGTGTGTGGAAGTGTCTGTTATCAAAGGTGTGTGTATCTCAATGCTTCAGTTCAAGCTGGCGGACATGGCTGTAGCTGTTGAAAGCGCTCGTCTCCTCACTTGGAAGGCTGCAATGCTAAAAGACGGCAAGAAACCCTTCTCCAAGGTACACCACACACCCCACAACACACACACACACACACACACACCATCCACTCTGTCACACTACATAACGTTGGACTTCCTCCTTCATGTCCCCACAGGAAGCAGCGATGGCCAAACTCTCAGCGTCTGAGGCGGCTACCTTCTGCGGCCACCAGGTACGCATCATAGAGCCTGTCATGTCATGTTTGCTAGAAATAGTGCCTGAATCAATCAATGAATCAATCATGTATTTTACAGAATTCACGGAAATCTCGGATTCTAAACCATTCTAATGTTCTTTACCTTCTGTGGAACTAAAAGTCGATCCAGGTTCTTGGGGGAATGGGTTACGTGACAGACATGCCAGCGGAGAGGCACTACCGCGACGCGCGAATCACTGAGATCTACGAGGGCACCAGTGAGATCCAGAGACTGGTGATAGCCGGCCAGCTGCTGAAGGAGTATGTGTCATAGAGACTTGCGGACTGCTCCCCAAATGGCAGTCTATTCCCTACATAGTGCACTATTTCTGGACCCCAATGGCCAAAAGTGGTGCACTATATAGGGAATAGGGTGCAATTTCAGATTGGCCCATAACAGCCTCTACACCCAGGACTGCGTTCAGGACTGCAGTGTTCAACAGTGTTGAACAGTGTCATCAGCGGCAGTCAGCTACTGAACTGAAGGAATGTCAAACATGGAGACAGACTCGCACAGCTCTGGGTAGAAGTTACCCTTGACCACAGATCTAGGATCAGATTGCCAAACTAATGCCCAAATCCTAACCTCAATTGTTATGGAGAGAATATTTGTCCCTGGACCAGTGGATAGAGGCACCTTGTACCTACCACTCCGAAGGGATAAGACCAGGCCTGCGTTCAGGACTGCAGTGTTCAGCAATGTTGTGAAACACTGCAACATGCATCCCACCTCCATTGAATCCTGTATTACTTCAACTTTGTAACGATTACAAAACAATCCAAGACTGTTTCTGGTTTGAAGCCATTTGTAACTGTTGATATCAACATGGCGATATATATAATCCTTTCTGCCTTAGAACTTCTTAATATTTTCTGCTTTAAACTGATGGTATCTGGTAATATAATATAAGCTAGCAGACTCGCATTCTCATTGTGACCATCTGTGTGAGTTGCAGTGCCTACTAAAGCCACAGGAGGGGAGCAGTGTTTGGACTGCCCTGTCCTGCCTTCACTTCAAACAACAAGGGGGATCACAACGTTTGAACACATGTAACATGCATCCCTCCTTATTCTCTGCCTTGTAAATATTAACTGATCTAAAAGAGTTGTGTAGTCATAAACAAGAATTCCACGGCATACTGTAGTGGCCCCGTGTAGCTCAGTTGGTAGAGCATGGCGCTTGCAACGCCAGGGTTGTGGGTTCGTTTCCCACAGGGGGCCAGTATGAAAAAATGTATGCACTCACTAACTGTAAGTCGCTCTGGAAAAGAGCGTCTGCCAAATGACTAAAATGTAAATGTAGTTGGCTAACGTCGTACCCAGGCTAGGCTTGGTGGATGAGACTAGTAGTTAGCCATCACCATGTTGAAATAGGATCAATAATTACTTCAAGCAGGGGGGAGAGATACATTTTGAAGTAATTAAACAGGGTTACACGCCTCTGTTCCTGTCTGTGCCTGGTCTGATGCTGCTCTCCAGGCTGTACATAAGCGTACAAATGTTTTTATGGAACTGAGACAACTGGGAAGTGGTTTAATGGTTTAACATGTTTTTGTCTCTATGGCCGTCAGTTATTAGGGTTATTGCATTGAATGTTAATGAATCAATCTCAGTTTTGATATAAAGAGTGCTCTGTTCAGAACTGAATGTCACCACTATAGAGAACCTATGTCTGTCAGAGTTTCAGAGATCTAAATGATCAAATGTTGGGTTGTGTAGCAAATTGATATTTTTTTACCATGATGCCCTACACAGCCCAAGTTTGTGCCTCAACATAAACAGCTGTTGTACATATTTTATTATAATTGATGGTACATAATGAAATCAAAAACAAGATCACAAGATTACTCCCTTACATCTTTTCATGTTAAATAGTGATGCTCTGAGGCTGTTTTGTGACATGGCAACATTTCATTATTAACAGGCGGCCAGTGGCACCTTAATTGGGGAGGACGGGCTGGGACGGAATGAATGAATAAAATGGTATCGAACACATGGTTTCCATGTGGTTGATACCATTCCATTCACGCCATTCCAGCCATTATTATGAGCCGTCCTCCCATCAGCAGCCTCGTGCCAAAGGGCCGGTTTCACAGACCCAGGTTAAGCATAGTCTAACGCAATCACACACGTTTCTCATCAATTGCTTTTAATTTGCCATGCACTTAATTTGTACAATCATTTAAATCATGTAGCTGTCATTTAACTCTTAACAATCAATTAAATCATCAGCCAGAGTAGGAGTTAATTTGACTCCATCAGGACAGACATGGGAAATCAATTAGAATCAGAATTTTGTAACCTAACAGATCCAGGGGCCAGTTTCAAGATAGGATGGAATTTAGGTTTACGAGTGTTTTAACAATGCATTTCTTCTACATCAGCCGAAGATGTAACGTGCGATTCCCAAAACATCACGCAAAGAGAACGTTCGCTAAGTGTGTCATTGAGGCATGTGCCGATACTGATAGGATCGAAAGACAGCGCTGCTCTCGGATCAGCTTTCTCCATTGAAATCTTACCTTAACATTATAATTATTCCACAATACTGATGACGGATCAGCTACTAAAAATATATCATCACCTATGGCAGCAACTATTGAGGCGGGTTATTCTAATGCTTACCCTATAATAATGCACTAAATCAAGATTTGCGCAAAATCACCCTGATTAACTATTTAGTATTATCCCAGTTTACCTATTTGCTTATGGTCTTGCCTACGCCTAGCGAACAGTTTTTTAAATTATATGAGAAAAAAATATTCAATTTTATTTGGAACGGCAAGCCAGACAAAATTAAAAGAGCATATTTATATAATGAATATGAATTCGGAGGACAGAAATAATTAAATATTAAAGCATTAGACCTATCACTAAAAGCTTCAGTCATACAAAAGTTATACTTAAATCCGAACTGGTTCTCAAGCAAATTAGTAAGATTGTCTCACCCAATGTTCAAGAAAGGCCTTTTTCCCTTTATTCAGATTACAACCTCTCACGTTCAGTTATTTGAAAAGGAAATAATCTCCCAAATGTCACTATTTCTAAAACAAGCCATAGAAAGTTGGTTGCAATTTCAATTTAATCCTCCAGAAACGACAGAACAAATAATGCAACAAATATTGTGGTTAAATTCAAATATACTAATTGACAAAAAACCTTTATTTTTTGACAGAATGTTTAAAAAAGGTATAATCTTCGTAAATGATATCATCGGTAGGACTGGTGGAGTTATGTCGCACATGCAGCTAACAAAAACATATGGAAATGTCTGCTCTACCCAAAATTACAACCAAATAATTGCAGCCTTACCGCAAAAGTGGAAGAGGAAAGTGGAAGGGGGAGAAAGTAAGGAACTTGTCTGTCGGCCTTGCATTAAAGAACATAATTGGTTAAGGAAAACTGTGATAAATAAAAAAGTATATCAGTTTCACTTAAGGACCAAAGGATTGACAGCCGTCCCATATAGATTGCAAAATAGTTGGGAAGAGATCTTTGACGTACCGATCCCATGGCATAGTGTTTATGAACTGACACGCAAAACGACACCGGATTCAAAAATTAGAATCTTTCAATTTAAATTATTATATAAAATTCTTGCTACCAATAGAATGTTATTTATATGGGGGATACAATCTTCCCAGCTCTGCAGGTTTTGCTGTGAAGAGACAGAATCATTAGATCATTTGTTTTGGTTCTGTCCATTTGTAGCTTGTTTTTGGACACAGGTCCAGGAATGGCTAAAGGATTGCAATATTTACCTGGAACTAACCTTGCAGATAGCATTACTGGGTGATCTGAAAAGTCATAGTCAATCAATCAATAATATAATAATACTTTTAGCAAAAATGTTTATTTTTAATTCACAATCTGTAGAAGCAATGAGAATAGAAAGGTTCAGAATTTTTGTAAAACATCACAGTACGGTCGAAATATATATGGCAAATAGAAATCCTATATGGATGGTGTTAAGAGATAGATGGGAGGTATTGAATAGAGTTGAAGGATGGGACTAATAACAAATAACAACAAATAATAACAAAGATAGCTAATAATGTAAGCATACTGTGTCCATAATAAGTATATAGGTTGTATGTTGGGAGCTTTTGGGAAGGAGCACAGTTAGAAAGATATGGCATATAGAAGCAAACCGGATGGACACCATGAAAATGATCGGAGAGGTTGATAGTAGAAGAATATCAGGAGCAAAAAAAAAAATATATATATATATGATAGAATTATTGTAAAATTAACTCTGTCCATAAGGTGTAGATAGTAAGTATAGACCGGAAGTAGAGGCCTGGGCATTGTTGTTCACTAATTTACTCCAAGTAGGGAAAGGATGGTGGGGTTGAAAAGTAATAAAGGGGAGTATATTTATAAAAAATAAAAAAAACATGGGGGATTGGAAGTGATGCAGACAATTACATTGATAGAAGATACAATCTATCTGCAATATTAAGCTGATCCATTCCCCCTAGAAGAAAAAAAAAAAAAATATATATATATATAAACAATTTAATAAAAATAAAACTAAATAAGATATGGCATATAGAAGCAAACCGGATGGACATCATGAAAATGATCGGAGAGGTTGAGGGTAAAGGGAGTTCAGGAGTAAAAACAAACAAAATAGAATTATTGTAAAATTGACTGTGTCCATAAAATGTATATAGTATGTATAAGCTGGAAGTAGAGGCCTAAGCATTGTTGTTCACTAGTTTACTCCAATTAGGGAAGGGGTAGTGGGGTTGGAAAGTAATAAAGGGAAATATATTTTTTTAAAGGATATGTATGTGTATTTATATGTATATATGTATGTATGTATTTATATGTATATATGTATATATGTATTTATGTATGTGTATGTATGTATGTATATATATATATATATATATATTTGCGAGGAAAAAAACCATATGGGTGATTGGAAGTGATGCAGACAATTACATTGAGGAAAAAAACCATATGGGTGATTGGAAGTGATGCAGACAATTACATTGATGGAAGTTACAATCTATCTGCAATATTAAAGCTGATCTACCCTATTTGTGCACATGTTGATACACATCATGAAAAATATTTAGGCAAAATTACTGACAGTAGCATACAATTAGCAAAGTAGAACTCATTTGAATGAACATGAAATTGACTTCAATATTATTGAATTATATAGGCCTATATAGCCTATACTGTAGGCTAATTATCTTTTAATGCAGTCATCTCGGTTTTCATTTTAAACATATTTTTATCCTTCGCGTGTTTGTAACAATTGCAAAGACATTGGCAACTTTATTTGTAGTCAACTTAGTTGTAAAGCTATCTGCTGTCACAGAGAGACAGCGAAACATCTTGATTCTATGTTTAGCGTATATCTTCTGTGTATAAAGTGATGCGGTAAGGAAAAAACACATCTAACAACGCACTTAGCTGTTCTATAGGTGGTCTGAGGCAGTCGATGAATAACAAGCTTTTAAGTGTAACGTTAATAATGATGGTTTTGGGAAACAGCTCAGAGATTTAACGATGCTCCTACAAAGGTTCTAACTATGAACGTAGCCTTAAGAAGCTTTTGGGAAACCAGGCCCAGAGTGATTCACAAGTATCAACCAAGGAGCATCGATAGGACATACAGCACATCTTCTAATCTAAAGTAAGAGTTAGTGGCAATCACTACTCTCCCCTACAGCCATGCCCTCTGTCTCTGCTCTGCCTTCTCACTCTTCCTCAATTTAAACGTTCTCTTTCTCTTCCTTCTCATTGGTCCTGGGGGTTGGTGCTGGCCTCTGATAGGCTGATGGTCAGAGTTATAAGTGTTTTTCTCCAGGAGGATCTCTCCATTGGTGGAGTAGATGGCCTTGGACCAGGTCAGCACGTTACCAGGGGTGTAGTAGTAGGACTGCCACCCAGACATGAAGGCCATTATCCAGCTTGGGGAGAGGACTCTGTCCCACATTTCCACGTCAGTTACCTGACCCTCAAATTTATACACGTTCAAGACAGGAGGCCCATTGGTCAACTACACACACACACATAAAGAAATACAAAGAAAAAATACTGCATATAATTAGAATACATCATATCTACTAAAGGAAAACGCTCATTTACATTATGCTGAATTACTTCATTAAACTCAGGAGTTTAATAAATTGTTTATTGCCAATTTTTGTGAGGTACTGAAACTACCTCAGACACATGTTGAGAGGCACAGGGTCAGTGGCGGTGCACTTATATCTCCCTCTCTATCACCTCTCCCACTTTCTCTCCTCTTACCTGGCCAAACACCCTCTTCCTGACGCTGACAGTCCCGCCTCTCCACACCTGGGCCACGCCCATCTTTTTCTCCCAGGTAACGCACAGGCTTGTCCAGGGGCGTGGCTCGCTGATGGAGCTGAGCAGCCTATAGGAGCAGAAGTCCTGGGAGGAGGAATAGATGGAGAGGTGGTCCTTCCCATAGCCACTTCTCAGTAAAAGGTTCCAGTAGTTTCCCTGAGTGAGGCTGAAGAGAGTCAAGTCTTTCCTCTCCTCAGCCATGTAACGCAGACACACAGTCAGAGCAGAGAGAGAGGGAGAGGGAGAGGAGGTAGTGTAGGGATACGAGCTGGTGTAGGGAGATGAGGAGGAGGAGGGAGATGAGGAGGAGGGAGATGAGAAGGAGGAGGAAGAGGAGGGAGATGGGGAGGAGGAGGGAGATGGGGAGGAAGAGGGTGAGGGAGAGATCGCATCTGTGTACATGGTGAGTTCCCCGCCATATGTCACTGTAAACATCTGACCACGCAGGTTTAAGGTGGAGAGTCCTGCAGAGAATCAATCAATCAACGAATCCATCAATCAATCCAATACTATCTGTGTAGCACTTCTTTAAAACGTTATTTGTCACTGATCACTTCAAAGAACCCACACCTAACATAGTATCTCTCTCTGTGTGTGTGCGCGCTCGTGTGTATTTGAATGCGGTACCTGAAGGAGTTGTTCGATTTCTGGCCCCAGTTCGGCCCAACACCGACAGCAGCACAAGAGCGTTAAGAAGCACATAAATCATCTTCATCTTCTTGAGACGCTTCGGCAGGGTGAGAAGATTTAGAGGAGTAAGATCTGGAGACCCGTTCTCAACAGAATGTGAAAAAAAACTCTTTGATTCGTGTAGGTTTCGTTTCCCAGTAAGGCTTACGGAAGACTTTCGTTTCTGCAATGTCACGCAATTGTAGAGGAACCCAAACTGACTCGTCTTTTCGTTTTTTGTAACAAAACCAGAAATGGAATAATGAGAAACCAAATATATGACCAATGTTGTTTTTTAAATGTTGGTTTAATTAGAAGTAAACAGACCTCAGAACCCATAAGCTCCACCCATTGGGCGTGGTGAGGAGGGTGTTTTTCACAGGCTGCTGTCAGTAAAAGTTTATTAGATGAATGTGCCCTCAAAATGCTTCAAACTTAGCCCTTGGAGAACAAAAGGTAAGTTGTATACATTTTATATTTTATGTCGTACTCAGGGTGTTAGGGGACAAAATTAAACTTTGGTTCTAGTGTTATACTTTGTATTCCATGTTATAGAGAAGCTTCTCAGGAACCCAGAACACTTTATTTCATCAGGACAGGGACTTACCATTGCTGAGATATCTTATTTTCAAGTTATCGTAAAATGTCAAAAAGGTTGCGGACAGGTCAATGTTAATCCTTAGTCAATAATGGCACCAAATCTTCTGTCTGGATTCTTAAATTCAATACGATTTGTCCAATATCTCAAGATAGGGTGGTAATATTGTTATGACATTTCCAGGGCTGATGTAGAACACAGAGATTATTCAAATAAAAGTAAAATGTATGAAACTAAAATGCTATATTATGCAAACTAGGCACTTAATATGCAAATTTAGGAGTACGGAATACATAATTTAAGTAAATTAACCAAATAGCTACACGGACTATCTGCAATGATCCTTTTTGCACTAACCTTTTTTGACTCATCACATACGCTGCTGCTACTGTTTATTATCTGTCCTGTTGACTACATTTACATTTACATTTGAGTCATTTAGCAGACGCTCTTATCCAGACTAGTCACCTTATTTCTAGTTATATGTACAGTGAATTAGTAAAGTATTTAGACCCCTTGACTTTTACCACATTTTGTTACGTTACAGCCTTATTCTAAAATTGATTAAATTGTTTTTTCCCCTCATCAATCTACACACAATACCCATAATGACAAAGCAAAAACTGTTTTTTGCACATTTATATAAAACCCCCCCGGAAATATCACATTTACATAAGTATTCAGACCCCTTACTCAGTACTTGTGTCATGGACATTCAACACCATGTCGTGGAAATTACCACCAGGGACACCTGAAGTCAATATTAAATGAATCATCCTTTATTATCAGCACGCTGGAGAGGTTCCAACCAACTCAATGCACCATGTACACATGTCAATCAGGAGCTCTGCCGGGGCAGTCCCATTAGAACTCTTATATACTGCTTACACAGACAAGTTATATTTGCATGGTTCATAGGGTTAGTTCCTGCATGTGTCTGGCACTGTCTCCTATCTTAACTTATAGAACATATTCTGGGCATTCTGCCAGGTGGTCCTAAGGAGGGGGTCATGTCTTTACCAAGCACAGGCAGGAACCAAGGATTATTTATGACACGAAAGACAAGATTAACATTTTCAAGGCTGTCTCATCACACAATAACATTTTCCATCACATTTGGTTGAAGCACCTTTGGCAGCAATTACAGCCTTGAGTCTTCTTGGGTATGACGCTACAAGCTTGGCACACCTGTATTTGGGGAGTCTCCCATTCTTCTCTGCAGATCCTCTCAAACTCTGTCAGATTGGATGGGGAGCGTTGCTGAACAACCATTTTCAGCTCTCTCCAGAGATGTTTGATCGGCTTCAAGTCCGGGCTCTGCCTGGGCCACAAGGACATTCAGAGACTTGTCCCGAAGCCACTTCTGTGTTGTCTTGGCTGTGTGCTTAGGGTCGTTGTCCTGTTGGAAGGTGAACCTTCACCTCAGTCTGAGGTCCTGAGCACTCTGGAGCAGGTTTTCATCAAGGATCTCTCTGTACTTTGCTCCGTTCATCTTTCCCTTGATCCTGACTAGTCTCCCAGTCCCTGCCGCTGAAAAACATCCCCACAGCATGATGCTGCCACCACCATGCTTCACTGTAAGGATGGTGCCAGGTTTCCTCCAGATGTGACGCTTGGCATTCAGGCCAAAGAGTTCAATCTTGGTTTCAACAGACCAGAGAATTTTGTTTCTCATGGTCTGAGAGTCCTTTAGGTGCCTGTTGGCAAACTCCAAGTGGGCTGTCATGTGCCTTTTACTGAGGAGTGGCTTCCGTCGTAACGGATATGGGCAATTTTCTGGATATGATTATGATCCAAGTATTTTTTGTAATTAACCGTGATCTGATTTTATTTTATTTTTGGGATGCCAGCATGCATCTTTCTCAGGTCAGTCAGTCACAGAGTTTCTAAACCATACTGTACTGTCTTTGAGTCAATCATGTGGAAGGTTCTACGTGGTCTAAATAACTAAACTGGCTAGTTTCCTGTCTGTAAAGAAAAGGGCGGGCTGTACATTGATCCTGCTGTTCTGATTGGATAGAGTGTAGCTCAGTTGGTAGGGCATGGCGTTTGCAACGGCAGGGTTGTGGGTTCGTTTCCCACGGGGGCCAGTATGAAAAAAAAAAATGTATGCACTCACTAACTGTAAGTCGCTCTGGATAAGAGCGTCTGCTAAATGACTAAAATGTAAAAAATGTATTTCTCCACTTGCTTCATAATTTCACCCAATCACTTTTCCTCACATGTTATTGGTCTGATTATTTAGATTGCTGCTGCCTGCTACTATGATAAATCGCATGGAGAGGATGTTTGCTATCAAACTATCAATGTGCATAATATCTAACAAGCGGGGCAAGGGTAGGGAAAAATGATGAAACGCTGATACGCATTCTGACTGAGTGACAGCAAACTTGGCTGCCCGCTGAAAGTTGAGGACACAGACACACACACCCCCCTGCGCGCTGCTCCTAATTTGCAGCTTTTATGCAGTGAGAACGTGCAGGGAGGTATTTTACCAACATCTATTTAGCCATATTAAAACACTTCCGTTTTTTCTGATCACAAGTATCATCCGATCCGACTATCAACTGTCAATTTACGGATACGATTACGAATACGTGTATGCCCATATCGGCACACCACTAGTATATATTACAGTCATGTTGTATTCGGTAGCCCAACTGATCAGGCATAGAGTGCCAAATAATACACCCATCCCTGTGACTGTGCTGCCTGCATACACACATACACCACACAGCCCACACGCACAGCATCCTCACACAACACACACACACACACACACCTCAGCATCCCCACACACTCACACAGCACCCTCACCAACACACCCTCACCAAAACACACACAAACACATCACATCACACACAGCCTAACACAGACACACACTTCTCACTAAGTCTGAGCTGTAACACAGAAGGCTACTAGTTTAATAACATAGCTTACTTCTAAGGTAGGCCTACACCTGAGATCGGTTAAATTGTAATGTTATTTTTGGTGTTGATGAGTTACTCTGGTTATGGGAGGATAAACTGCATCATTTCCAGCAAATAATTTGCCTGTTAGCCAGCTGCACAGAAACATAGATTATATTTATGTATGTTTGTATCGATTGTAGGTCTGTAGCCACATAATTCTGGTAGTTTTTACTTGAAAGAATAAAACCATCAATCACAGAATTCGCAGCTGGCACAATACAGCTAATGCCACGCAGCGCTGCCTCTCGCCCGGCTCGTTGCCTCTGCAAATGGCACTCTCACACAGCTATCAAGCTAGCACTTCTCATGAAAATGGGGGTGACGTCACATGAATTTGGACCAATCCCTGACAACCCATACATCAAAACGTAACTGGGAAGCTCTACTTTGTAACCTGCTGTTTTTTTCATTTCTGAATGACAGAAGCGAAGGAAAAATGGTTTACCTTTTATTTCAGTCAAAAGATGCCTGATGACCGTGAAACACCTTCAGAACTTTCCCATACTTCTTGGCAATACAATGTCACATCGATCTTACTCTGATCGGTTGAGGAATACCCATCGCAAAGAGCAAATATGAACACACCGATTTTGCGGGTTTCACAAAAAGGGCTGTCCCGCAGATTTAAATGTTCTTAGCACGGCACTTGCTTTACATTTGGGCTCATTTCGCATAAATATCATGGGTAACAACTGGGTAACAACTGTCACATTGTTTTCAAATGATTTATTATGTATTTTGATGACCCCATTATTGACATTTAGTGAATGGAGATTTGTTTACCATGTTTTTTGTAGAATTGTCGCATGGCGTCCATTGTTTGTCGCGTCACCTAACAACCTACTGTACTACAGTTGTATCACACTGCTAGCTAAATAGCAAAGTGAAATTCGGCTGTGCCTGCTAAGCTAGCAAACAGCTAGCAAACAGACTATCAGGTGTTGTAAGGAAACAGCTACAGTACCAGTCAAAAGTTAGGACACACCTACTCATTCAAGGGTTATTAATGATAATATGCCATTTAGCAGACGCTTTTATCCAAAGCGACTTACAGTCATGCGTGCATACATTTTTTTTGTGTATGGGTGGTCCCGGGGATCGAACCCACTACCTTGGCGTTACAAGCGCCGTGCTCTACCAGCTGAGCTACAGAGGACCAAATTCTTTATTTGTACTATTTTCTACATTGTAGAATAATAGTGAAGACATCAAAACTATGAAATAACACATATGGAATCATGTAGTAAGCAAAAAAGCGTTAAACAAATCAAAATATATTTTATATTTGAGATTCTTCAAAGTAACCACTCTTGGCATTCTCTCAACCAGCTTCACCTGGAATGCTTTTCCAACAGTCTTGAAGGAGTTCCCACATATGCTGAGCACTTGTTGGCTGCTTTTCCTTCACTCTGCGGTCCGACTCATCCCAAACCATCTTAATTGGGTGGAGGTCGGGGGATTGTGGAGGCCAGGTCA